AGGTGGCCCAGCTGTAAAGAAAGACTACAAAGGTGCTGGGCTACCTCAGGGCAAGGGGAACAAATGCAAGCATCAGTGATGGGTCGTGGGCACTTGGCTCTATGCATGGCAGGGCAGGGTGGCCTCAGCCCGGCACACGCCAGGAAGGTCCCCAACCCCACTGGTCCTCCAGCCGTGGTGGGATGGGTGCCCACATGGTCAGGGCTGCAGCAGAAGTGGCAGTGAGACACGTGGGATGTCCCCAGGGAATGTTCCCTGCAGATCCTGGGAGCAGCCCCCTCAAACCCTCCACAGAAAGCCCAGCCCTGCCCTCCAAACTCGGTGTTGCAAGAGATTGAAAGGTCCCACAGCGCTGCGCCAGCTCTGCCCCCAAATCAACCCCGTCTTCACGGCTCGGGGTGGAAATGGGGTGATGCCTGCAGAGGCAAACGGACGCAGGGAGGAGGAGCAGGGCGAGGGAGGCGATGCCACCGACCGCGAAATGTTGGCTTCTGATCTGTGGCTGCTGATCCAATTAAAAGGGTTAATCCCCAGAGACGCCCCCGCGGGGAAAGCAGCCTCTAAGAGGTCCCCCGCGGGGAGGTATGGTCATTAGGGCAGGCTCCTGGGACGGACGGGTCTGGCGTATCACTGACACGATTGCAGGGGATTACCCACCGCTTGCAGCCCCGTCCAGCCCCACAGCAAGTCCCTCTGCCCCTCCTCAGCCACGCATCCCCAGGCAGTGCTACGTGCGGAGGTTGGTCACGAGCCCATGTGGCCCCGGTGCATGTCCCCAGCTCCTCTGGGATGGTTTTTTTACAGTCCTGGGAGAAATTAAGGTCTCTGACACTGGCCAGCATTCAGGGTAAACCAAGGTAAAGTTGCCTTCTCCCTCCCATACCACTGCAGGGAAGGAAAAGCCAGAGGGCCCAAAAGGTTATGGCTGGAGAAGGATGGATGGGAAAGGATGGATGGATGGATGGATGGATGGATGGAGAAGGATGGATGGGGAAGGATGGATGGGGAAGGATGGATGGATGGAGAAGGATGGATGGGGAAGGATGGATGAGGAAGAATGGATGGGGAAGGATGGATGGGGAAGGATGGATGAGGAAGGATGGATGGACAGATGGATAGATAGATAGATACATAGATAGATAGATAAATTGATGGCTGCGGAAGGGTGAGGAACCCACCTAAGAAACCCATGGTTGCAGCTCTGCCATCTGAAGGGAGAGCTGAGCCCACCCCTCATATCCCTGTTCATTCAGGGATCACTTTAGATGCGTAAGAGCCCTTCCTGCCTCACCGCAGCGAGCAGAGGGGAGGCTTTTGGGTCTCCTTGGGTGGAGACAAGCTGTTCTGTGCCACCTGTGGCTGTGTCCCTCGGACAGCAGACAGCGGTGCTGCTCCAGGACCAGTGAAAGGCGCAGTGCCTCCAGGCTTATTCCTCCAACCAAACCAGCAAAAAATCAAATCATCCTGGTTTTCTCTGCCAGGAGACGGCAGCCGAGATGCGGCGCTTGGCTCCTGCCTAACTGGAGCTCGCCCCTTTGGTCTGCGTTGCTGCAGCGAGTGAAGGGGAACAGCAGCCAAAGCGAAAATGTTTTACTGTTCAATATAAAATTTATGGGGTGCCTTTTATGACAGCGTCCCAAAGCAGGGCTGCAGTAAAGGGATAACTAAAAGGCAGCAGAAAGCCTGACTCACAACAACAGAGAGCTGGCAGTGGCGTAACGCCCGATGGCGGGGGAGAAGCTGACACCGGAGAAGATGAGATGCTGCTCGGAGGCAGCCAGGGCCTGGGGGTGCAATGGGTCTGGGAGACAAAGAAAGTTATAGGAGGATGGGACAGTCACATCATGCACATGGCATCTTTGGAGACTTCCACATCTTCCTTTCATGGTGAGTACGCTCAGCACCAAACCCTGTTTGCTGGGACCAACTTCAGTGCAAGGACCAGTGCAGCAGGAGCGGCAGAGCATACCCAATCCATCCCAGAGCATCTGCACCTGTGCAGCAACCAGCGCAATGCCCTCCGTGTTTCCTGGGAAAGGACCAGGCAGCAGCATCATCTCTTGGTGGGAAGCTCCTTGGGATGGGACTGCTTCATCTTGACCTTGCATCTCCATGAAACCTCTCTCCAAAGAGCCTTCCTCCTGTATATCACTGTTAACCTCCAAATCTCCCTGCCCAAGGTAAAGCTCAGCCAGAGGGCCAGGGCGACGCAGCACAGACAGGGGTGATGCAGCTCTGCAGGTACTTCAAACACACTTTTTAGAAGAAATATAATGCACCATGCTCTGGGTAGACATTACTCAGGGAGGGATGGCAGGGACCTCGCCTCAGGCTGGTTCCCCCATCGCTGCTCGCCAAAGGGTTTCTCCTGGCCGTGGAGCAGCCAGCACCATCCACCACCCTCCTGGAGATGGGAGAGGAGCTCTGTGTATGGCACTCAGTTGATTCGCACCCAAGAGGTCTCCTGCCTGTGTCTGGGCTCGGTATAACCTATATGGGCTCAGTATAACCTATACCAGGCTCAGTAACCTATAGATACCTGCAGAAAAGCCTCATCTGGGCTGGGCAGTGCAGGGTTTGTGCTGGTTTTCTCCAGGCCATAGAATCATAGAATCGTTTAGGTTGGAAAAGACCTTTAAGATCATCCAGTCCAACCAGTAACCTAACACTACCAAGTCCACACTAAACCAATTCAGGGGAGAGTAATCATTAACTCCATGTTTCCTGCCTTGGTGGCTGGATTATTTTTTAATTAAAGTAAAACTAGAATAGAATCATTAAGGTTGGAAAGGACCTCGAAGATCATCAACCCAACACCACCATGCCCACTAAACCATGGCCCAAAGTGCCACCTCTGCCCGTTTTTTGAACCCCTCCAGGGATGGGGACTCCACCACCTCTCTGGGCAGCCTGTTCCAATGCTTGACCACTCTTTCAGTAAAGAAATTTCTCCTAATATCCAATCTAAACCTCCCCTGATGCAACTTGAGGCCATTTCCTCTCATCTTAACTCTTGTTCCTTGGGAAAAGAGCCCAACACCCACCTCACTGCAACCTCCTTTCAGGCCATCCCTAGGAACCCAGCTGGGCAGCTTCATTTCAAATGCCTGCCGCTTCTGGTAAATGAGCGTAAATTGGGCCTCAGCTCTAGTTCAATTAGAGCACACAAGAGCAAGTTAATTAGGCTGACGAATGAAGGGTCAGGCTCTGCCTGGGGACTGGCAGCATCCTCCCTGCTGGGGCACGGCTGCAGTCATGCACACGGCCACAGGGTGAGAGGGTGGCTTTGCCCCTCTCCCTTTGCCCCACGCCACAGGGGTACATCCCCAATGCCCAAAGCATCACTGGGATTTTTTCCTGGCTAAATTTAACCAGATCAGCCCTGTCGCCTGGATCATCACTCGGCTCTGGTGAGCAGTGCCAGGTCAGTGCTCACCAGCTGCTCTGATTATCCCCGGTTGCTCCTTGCTGCAGGTCCGCTGGAGCTGCCGATGCTTTGCTCTCTGGCTTCTCTGTCCTTTGGCTGTGCACAAACCTGGTTTCCATCCACATCCTGAGCGTGTGGCAGCAACTGCTGTTTTTTGGGAGCATAACGAAGAGAGAAGGGGAAGGCACAGCCGTCCCCAGGGTAGGAGCTGCTCGTATTGATCCTTTTATAGCTCCACGTGAGCGGTTGCCTGTCCAAGAGCAAGCACCTGCACTCACTTAGCAGCTTGCTTGGGCACCCATCCAGCACGCCAGGACCTCCTGTTTCCTGGCCTGGGTTTGCCCCCAGCCTTCGCCTGACCCCCGTGCCCACCGCCAGCCCCGAGCTCCATTTTCAGCCCCGAACCAGCTGTGGACCGTAAGCAAGAGGGGCGGGATGATCCCCTGATGATGAGCAAAGCATCTGTGGGATGCTCTCTGCATGTCCCAATCCTGCATCCCAACCCTGAGGACTTTGCTTGAGTGAGTGCAAGGGGATCAGACCCCACTGAGGGGATGGGGGTCCCAATGAGGCCCCCCGAGTTGTAACACGGACCCTACAGGGAAAGGAGAGCCGGCACAGGAGGCTGAATCAAGAAGACGCTTTAATCAGATTTATCAGACAGATCTGGATCTCCAAATAAATAGATTTATCAAAACAGAATAAAACAAGAAACCAGGGATAAATACATGTACCAAAACAACCTGAAAATCCCCCAAAAGCTATTTCCAGACAGGGGGAGGGCGATGCTGCTGCACGCCCTCCTCCCCACGCTGCAGAAATGGTCCTGTTCACCCTTTGGGAGATGCCCCTCCTGTGAATACAGCCCAGTAAGATATTATGTAGGATATATATAAATATATAGCATAATAACATGCCTAGTAGCGACCTTAGTGCAGTGTTTGGGGTCTCAGACCCTGTCAGCAGGTGGGTCCTCCCAAAAACTACATCTTCAAGTGACCTGCAAAGAAGGTAAAAGAATCGTCCCAGCTGAAACAGAGGAGAAAAAAAAACCCCAAGATTTTTCAAGAACTACCCTTTGGAGAGTACTCAGCCAAAGAAACCCTTTGCAGATCACCGGGGCTCCAAGAAAGGAAATAAGGATGATTTTTCTCTCCTTGCAGGTCATCTTTATGCTGGTGGTGGTAAAAAGCATGGTCTTGTCCTGCTTTACTGCTAGCTCCTGATGCTCTTCAGAAATGCCAGGGTCTCAGGGACATATCCCACCTCACACCAGGTCTCACACCTCTGCCACCTCTCCTTCCTCCTTCTACACACCCGACATCTTCGGCAGCAGGAGATGACGGCCGGCCTCTTGCACTCTCCCGCTGGAGAGAGGCACCTCCACGGCTGTGGCTTCAACGCGGTTCAGTTTGGTTCGTTTGCTGGAATTTCTGTAATTTACACTAGTGTATCCTTTACTGCTGTGCCAGTCTATTTAATAATGCAACTTTTTTTTTTTCTTATATATGTGTATGTGTGTATGTGTGTGTGTGTAGATAAATCAATAGCTAGGTTAAAGTTTCTTTTTCCTTTACAAGCTCTTTGTTTCTTTCTCTGGGCTCTCTGTCATCCTCAGCTCTGACGTCTGGGCTCGGAAGATGTTCCAGTGACCTGGATGAGCAGAGACAGACACTCATCAGCAACAACCCTTGGAGCAGGAAAATTTACCCACACGTAGCACCCTCCACACTGGAGGACCCATGAGGACCATGCTGGGAGAGAGGTGGGGAGAGATGTCTGCCCGCAATGCTGGCCATGGCCAGAGCAGCTCATCAGGGGCCCTGTAATCTGGTCCTAGACTTTGCCATCTTGGAATTAAAATGGTATTTGAGGTCAAGAGGGGCCCTATATACCTTCTGCAATACAATTAACAGCACAATCAACGGCATTTCTGATGTTTTCCCTGGAAATCACTCACATGCTCTTAAAAGAGAAGGCGCTCAGTCTGAAACAGGGATAAATCCCCCTCTCTGCCTCCTCAAAGGATGCTTTAATGTGAGTGGTTAGGGCCATGCCCTCCCCAGGTGTCTGGGATTCAGGCTGACTCCCTGCCTTTTGGGGAGGCAGGCATTTTGCTTGTCCTCTGACTCATCAGCAGAAAGCCAAAATTCATGTTTCATGGGCCACGGGCAGGTATGCTTCTCTCCTCTCTTCTGTCAGCCCCATTTATTTGGGGTGGGTTGCTCAACCCATTTATACTCGTTTTTCTGCTGCTGCCCCAGCCTTTGCTCTTCGTGCAGGGCATTGCAACCACCTACGGTCAAGGAAGATCCTGCTGCAGAAGGAGAAGAAACCCCCCTGGGTCCCCCCACAGCCTCACCGGTGAGCTGCAGACTCTCTGCGAAGCAAATGAATCAGTGGGAGCTGGGCAACACCCCAAAAATGAGCACAAAGCTCCCCAATCTCTCTCCTTGCTCCCCCAAAACACCAGCATCCCTATACTTGCAGGAGGTGGCTGGAGGTGCTTTCCCTCTAGGTGGTCGCTTCCCCTGTAATCCCAGCAAGGATTATGCAGCCCTAATGTCGTCATCCCCAGGAGGGGCATATTTTCTAGCTGAATTAATCTCCTGTTGTGAAGAAATCACTGGCCAATGCTTTCCTAGAACTTGCAGCAACGGCAGAGGGATGGTTTCACAACAGGGTTATTTGTCAGGGGAAACTGAGGCAAGAAGAAGGTGGCAAGTGCCAGAGACCCGGTCAGGGTGTGAGACCTAACCTGCGAGCAGGGACTTTAAAATCCCCCAGGGTTTGGTCAAGAGGTGTTGTCTTGAATGGATTGGAGGTGAAAACAGATCTCCACCCTCCCTGGGGTACTGGGTGTGCTGGTATGCACTGGGCAGCAGTGCTGTTCCTGGCTGACCTGATGACCCATGGGTGCTGGACAATATGGGAATGGCTCCGATCCGAACCTAACCCATTAAACTCTAACCCAGCCCAGGCGAAGGGGCAGCCAGCGGGAAATAGCACAGCAGTTTCACTCCACACAGGCACTCTCGGCATGTGCACTGG